AGTCTAGTTACTGAGTTTTTCTATGTTTTCTTTCCTAGAGTTTTTGGTCGAGGGATCTACAGGGAAGAGTTTTTTGTGACTGTTTCACTTTATATTCAATATAATTAATTTATAATATTATCCTATAAAAAAGGTTTGTTCAACAAATATTATAAAAAATTTCAAAATTGTTTCAATTGTACATTCAGGTTTTGTCAAAGCTTTTGTCTAAATTTTGTCAAGCTTTTGTTTAGATTTTGTTCAAGCCCTTGTCTAGATTTTGTTTAAAAAAATATTCAAAATAGGGTCGATTTTCCAAACAATTTTTTGTACAAATTTCTAACAATAATTATTTATTTATGTACAACATTTATTGTATATTTAATCAAATTTTATTAAAGAAATATTCTAAAATTGTATAAATTTTATTACAGATTTGATTAAAATAAACCAAATTATAATCACAGAATAATACTAATATTATTTAAATCTTATTTGATTTAGTATATAAAACATATTAAATATATGCAAACTACATACTATTATTGTAATAAATTTCATTCAGCACTATAAATTCATGAAATCATTATTATATTTGATGTTTAGTAATTGTTGATGGCTTTGTGTAATGCATATTTATTGTTTTTGATTACTTAATTATTCTATATATGCATATTAATTATTTTTTTTTTCTACAAAAATTGGAATTAGTTTTTATTTATAAATATCTTTACTACATTTGAACTATTTATATCATTAATCCTTTTTTTATTAGACACTTTTGAAGGCTGTCTTTTAGTCAGCAAAGCAATGTCTTCTATGTTTATAGCTTTTGCAGGTTTTATTTCTCTACTTCATACAGGTAGCATTCCAATAATTTAATAAAAATTTGTTATTAAAAAAAGCAAATCATTAAAGTGTATTTAATGATAATGTTTAGAAACAATAGTAATATAATAATTCTATATTTATTTACTAATATTTCAACAACAAAATATAATAAATATGAATGTACAACTTAGAATTATTTTAGAAACAAGTATGATAGCATTTGTATTTATATACTAATAATTCAGTAGAAAAATAAAAGGAAATTTGTGATATCGAATTGCAAAACCAATTAAAAATAAATGCAATGAAATTTATACTTATGAGCTAATAATAATCCAATATGCAAATATGATAAAAGTGAGTTAAGCAAATATGTTGTTGAAAATGAGTTAAATAAATATGTTGAAAATGAGTTAAGTAAATATGATGAAAATGATTTAAGCAAATATGATAAAAGTAAGTCAAGTAAATGTTTTGTTAAAAGTAAGTCAAGTGATTATATGTTGTTGAAGTAAGTCAAATAAATATGTTATTGAAAGTAAGTCAAATGAATATGTTGTTGAAGTAAATCAAGTGAATAATTTTGTTGAAGTAAATCAAGTGAATAATTTTGTTAAAGTAAATTAAGTGAATAAATTTGTTGAAATGAATTAGGTGAATAATTTTGTTGAAGTGAATCAAGTAAATAATTTTGTTGAAGTGAATTAAGTAAATAATTTTGTTGAAGTAAATCAAGTAAATATTTTTGTTGAAGTAAATCAAGTGAATATTTTTGTTGAAGTGAATCATTTAAATAAATGAAAGTGAGTCAAGTAAACATATGAAAGTGAAAGTTAAAAAAAATCAATTTAGAAACAATTTAATGCATTTATATTTACAGGCTAATAATTCAACAAAAAATAGCAGAAGCAATTAGAGCAAATTAAAGATGATATTTTAGTATACCTGGAAGTATGACTATATAACATGTGGCTAGAATTTTGAGGTTTTTTAGGTTTGCCTGATAACTTATTGGTATTGTTGGAATTTCTATTTTGATTTTGAAGAATAGTTAATAGAAGTCATAAAGAAGATGTCAATGCCACAATAGTATCATTTATATTTGTTGAAATTGGAGTTTCAACTTCCAAGTCATGAATTTGATCAGTAGCCTGAGTGTGTAATTAAAAATTAATTTAGTAGTATTTTTTTTTTTTGAAATAATATATTTAGCTTTTTACTTAAGTCTAAGACTAGTTACAAATTCTTAAAGAGTTTTATTTAATTCTGAATAAGTAGAAGCATGAGAAATGGATTGTACAGAATCACTCAATTCAACCAATTGTTCTTAATTTATAAGTAGTTAATAAAGTTATTACATATTAGAAAAATAACAACTATAATTAGTATTATACATACCAGTTTTACTCTTTTTGTTGTAAAGTGAATGATTATTTATTTTGTGTTTCTTTATGTTACCTATTTAAAAATAATTAATTATACCTATATGCATACTTTATAAACTATAATTTTATGCATATATTTACATATATTTGTTATTTATTATTCCTTACATTATTTGTCTAATGGCCTAGTTACATGTAGCAGCAGAAAATTTTGGGTTCTTTCACTTGAACTAAAATAAGTGTTTTTTTGTTTAACTATTTTAAGCAATTAACAATACAATTAAATTATGATTATATTTGCCTTTCTAATAATTTCACTCTTTTTATTCTCTGAATTTTTTTGAAATTCAGACATTTGCTTTGTATATTTAGCTATAATCATCAAACAAAGTGATTCCTAAATAACATTAATAATTATTATGATTATTTATTTATTATAATTATACAATATAATAAAATTCTACCTAATAGCTATTATATACAGGTTTGTTCAGTTTGAGTGTTTTAGAGATATCGATATATGTTGCTTCATTTGAATTTTCAATTGAAGCCAACTTTAAATTGTAAATTATTAAATTATATAAAGATTCAAATTAAAAATATTATATACAGTATATAATAAAACTTCATTATCAGGATCTTCTGTCTTTAAACTAGAAGTATCATCCTTTTTGTAATTTTTCTTCCTTTTGGTCCTTTTTTTTTAAATAAGTTATTATCCATATTATCTGAATTGAAATCTGCTTTCTGGTTCTTAATTTTTTTGTTACAAGCAATTTGAAGTCTTTTCAAAGTTTCTAGTTGCTTAAGTAAAGCTGAAATATTTTTTGTTACAAAAGTCTTATTATCAATGTTAAAATCTAATCTACTTTTATTCATTTTAAACTTTATCTTAAGCTGGTTTGAGTCTTTTTCTTTACTTGTATCTGCTCTTCATTTATTTTTATTACTTAGTTGTTTTTTAGTTTTGTTTAAACCCATTTTATTTTAAATATGTAATTATTGTTTTATCACAAAAATATATTTTATGAAAAAAGAGATCAATTGTCATACACACAAATATGTATATATATTGATATATATATATGATAGACTTAGTTTAGAGTAACAATCAGTAAACATTATAAAGCTTCATGCATAAATATCACATACACTATATTTTACATATATTTTGAATTATTATTAGATAAGGATTACTTGGTAATACTAAGTAACATATAATGTAAGTAATATTTAGATCATATATAGTTAATTTAACTATAAATATTCATTAATAAAACCAGAAGTCTATGCATATAAAGTTTATTTTAAATACTGCATATGCAGTATATTATTACTATTTTAGTATTTATAATCGATTTTTGTATAACAATAATAATAAAATATAAAATAGGTTTGTAAGAATGGTTATATAAAAGAAAAGAATTAGTGATTAATAAGAGATCTAATCTTTTCTCTCAAACTAATGTAAAATGAATATTTGCATTAACCTTGCATGTTGAAGAAGTAAGGTGTTGGTTGGAGTTAATTAAAGAAGTAAAAGTGTTAGTTGGAGTTAATTAAAGAAGTAAAGATGTTGGTTGGAGTTAATAAAATAAGGAAATAGATAGAGAAGACAAACAATAAACTCTTTTTTTTTAATATAAAAAAAATTAATTATTTAAAAAAGGTCTGAGACCCAAACATTCTTACTACAAAATAGAAACATAAACATATAATTCTGAACATTTTAACATGTGACTAATTAAATCAAAATATATATATATATATATTTATTTATTTTATTGATTTTTTTTTTTTTTAAAAAAAAAATCATCAATATAATTTCTAAATGCTAGTGTGGTATACTTGTCATTTGTGCTCATCAAATAATAATGGTGATTTATGAACATCAAAAAGTGCTAAAACTAGGCATTGATGACATAATAAATAAAATATCTGAAGTCCTAATAATGATTCAATATTACAAAATAATATTCAAATTTCAGCTATAGACAATAATTTTTATCAAAATTCAGTTGAGTTTAATCTAAATTTAGAAGAATCACTGCAAGCCTATCAAGATTATGAGAATAATTTAGAAAATTATAGTGAGTTTGATAATAATTTAGAAGTAGATAAATTTGGAAGTGGGTTTGAATTAGTGGATAGTTCAGGACATGAAAATAAATTGGTATATAAATTAAAAAGTAGAGATGAATTAGAAGATTGTGATGAATTAGTGAATAGCTTGAAAAGCAAAAATAAATTTTATAATAGTGATAAATTGATAAATAGTCTGGAAAGTGAAAAGAAGTAGAGAACAATGATGAATTAGGGAATAGTTTGGAAAGTGAAAATGAATTTGAGAACAATGTTAAATTGGATAATAGTTTATGGAGTAGAAATGAATTTGAGAACAATGATAAATGGGAGAATAGTTTATAAAATGAAAATAAATTTGAGGACAATGATAAATGAAAGAATACTTTAGAGTATAGAAATGAATTTGAAGACAATGATGAATCAGAAAATAGTTTAATAAGTGAAAATAAATTTAAAAACTATGATAAATTAGGAAATAGTTTAGAAGATGGTGATGAGTATATGAGCAGACTTGAGTATGAAAATTCTAATAATGAGTTAAAGAGTAATAGTAATAATTCAATTATAACAAATACAAGTAATACAAATATTGAAGATAATATATATCTACTAGTATGCAACTTTATTTATTTATAGCAACATTATTTATTTACATATAATTAAATATTAAAAATATACTCTTTATATCTCCTGAACTTGCTACTATGATTCAACTTCTGAAAATTAAAGTGCAAAATAATCTTACTGATAAAGCCTTTTTTGAAATCATGAAGACTATAGTTACAAAACCTATAAGCTTATATTTAATTAAAAAAACTATTATCATTAATTCTATTTAAACTCATGTGGATAGATATGTGTATCAATACCTGTTGTGCTTATACTGGTGATTATAGTAATCTTACAGAATGTTCATATTGCAAAAAGGAATGATATCAAGCTGAATTTCATAATAACAAAGATCCTAAAGCACATTGTAAATTTGCATATTTTCTAATTATTGATTGTTTTATAATGCAATACTAAGATGCAAAACAAACAAAAAATCTACTTTATTGTTCAGAATATGTATCAAAGCCAGAATATCAATGTAATAAAAAAATTGGTAATATGTTCAATAGCCAATAATATAAAGACCTAGTACAAAGAGGATATTTTAAAGAAAAGTATGATGTTGCATTATTAGTATCAATTGATGGGTTTCAAATTTTTAAACAGAGAACAGATGACTACTAGATTCTGCTATTTATAAATACAAATTTATCTCCTGAAATACATGTAAAAAAAGAAAATTTTTTGATCTTCACAATTATATCAGATTCAAAAGAACTGAAAGATCTAAATTCTTTTTTATTTTTTGTTATTACTGAACTACAAAGATTAGAAGAAGGAGTAGTGTGTTCTAGTGTTCAATATAAAGATACATTCATACTATATGGTTATGTACTATCTTGGTCTGGTGATACACCTGTACTTACAAAATTAATGTGTCTTATAGGATATAATTTATATAGAGAATGCCACTATTGCAATATTAAAGGCATTTATTCTTCACATATATATTATCCTACCAAACTATCCAGTAATCAAAATAGTGAAACTTATAATCCTGAAAATTTGCCAATTAGAACTTATAATGAATTCAAAAGACAAATAAAAAAAATTCAAAAAATGCAAATATAATTAGAAAAAAATCAAACAATAAAATGTTATAGTATTTACAAACAAAGTATATTATTTAATCTCAATATTACCAACTTCCTAAATACATTCTCTGTGAATATTATGACTTATTTTATGAGAACATTGTTAGTTATATGCTGACTTATTAGATGGGTTCTTTTTTTACTAATCAAGATCAAAATAATGGTAAATATGTTTTAAACAAAGAAATGTAGAATAAAATTGAAAATAAGATGCATTTAGTATGAAAAAACATTCCATCAAGTTTGGGTTGGCTATTGTGAAACATTGTTTTGCATTATTGTAGCTATAAAGCATAGGAATGGTCCTCTTGGATTACAATATATTCATTATTGTTTTTTAAAAATCAATTGCCTAATAAATATTACAAAGAATGAGGGTTGTTTGTAAAGGATGTATAATTATGTCAAAAAAGAATAATAACATATGATGATTTAAATAAAATTAGATCATATCTTCTAGCATTTTATAGACATTATAAAAAAGAGTATTATCATGGGCTATTAGAACATTTAAGCACAATAAAAATATATATATATAATATATTGCATGTTTCAGAAAGTATCTTTCAAACTAGACCCTATTGTGTGACATGGCAATATTTAATTAAAAGAATGTGTAGAATGCTACTTTCTTTAACTAAATTGAAATTACATCTATACAAGAATCTTACTAATAATGTTCACTTACATGAAATTTTTAATTGTTTAAAATTTAACTGAATAATATATAACTAAATTTTTTTATCAATTTTGTTTAAAATATATAATGAACATCTGGCTTATATTGGAGAAGGTAGACAAAATTTCTATTTTCCTTCAACTTCACACAAATTAACACAAGCTGAATTAAAAAAAATTAAAGAACATTTTCCTACTATATCAGATATGTCCAGGTTGCAGCTTATGTCTTTTAGTCAAACAGAAACAAAGTATTGTTAGCTTAGAACAAAAGATAGTTATTATATTGGATCAAAATGGATTCATCATAATAAAAACGGATTACAGATTAATTATACTGTTATGATAAAGATAGAAGTAGATATTTATGCAAACTATTCTAAATGACTGTTAGTATTCAAAGTTTAAGATTTTTATGCTATTGTAGAATATTATTTAGTTTATGAGTTCAAAGAATCAAAAGTAATGTTGGCATATGTTCAGTAAACATCACCTGTTAGAGAAGATAGTACTGGTGTGAAGACATTTAGTCAGTTAGAGTAATATGCATTTATTGATTCATCAGCTATTAATTAATGTGTTAGTTTTATTAAAATTGATATGTTTTTTTTATTTATTTTTATTTTTATTTATATAATGTTCAAGTAGAAACTTTTTACATATAAAATCATAAGTTCTAAAATTAAAATTTTCTAAACTACATTTGTGCTACAAATTGGCACCCAATGTAACATTATACCTCCTATTTTCTGTGAATGCTATAGCTAACTATTTCAAATTAGGTTCTAGCTAAGATAGGTTAGAGAAGACCTTTAAGTGATTGTCTGAACATTATTAAATACAAGAAGTTAGTGAGAAACCTTGTGTGAGCCATTTGATGATAAAAGAATTAATATTTATAGTTTGAAAAGAGATTGTTGTATTGTTTAAAGGATTTGGTGATGTTGGTAAGTAAATTTTAGTGCATTAGATTTTGATGTAATGTTTTGAGATATTTCTTATTGATGTTAGTATATGTTGCAAATAGATCAGAGATCTTGATGAAACCAGTTTAATAGATCTTTTGAGAGCTGAACTAGAAGAGCATCAGTTTGTTTATTAATATGTGTTTTGATATTTTTATAAATAGTGGAAGAGAAGGTCCCTGTAATAATATGTAAAATATGTTTGAATTAAGGATTTGGTGTGTTAAGTGTGAAATTTAGAAGAATGTTTAATAAGATTGTTGAGGTTATATTGGTAATTTTTAGTAATATTAAAGTATCTTGTATTGTATTTTTGATTGATTGTAGAATGTTTGTAATATTGCTAGGGTATAAAAATAAATAAAGAGTATCTTCAGTATTTGTATAGCAAGAGCAGTTTGGAGTAGTATAGAGATATGGGTAACAGATATTAAGATTTTGCATAGTAGGTAGATTATTAGTGAGAATTTTGATATGAAAGAAGTATTTTTGTAGGTTATTTTCAAGAAAGAAGATAATTTTAAATTTTAATGACCATTTAATGTTTGTGATATTTTGAAAAAATTTTAAGTTTGACTATTTAACAATTTCTTGAATAGTTATGAAGTTTTTGATGAAGATGCGAACTTAGATAGGAATTAAATAGTTGTTTTATATGAAATGGTTTAGAGTGTTAAATTTAGAGTTGTTAATTTAGAGAATTTTTTGTGGTTCCTTGTTTGGCAAGTAAGTCTGCTTGGTTGTAAAAAGAGTCTGTAGAGTGTGATTTTACTTTATAAAAAGTAGTAGTAATGTTTTTAAGTTGTTTAAGATGATTAATATAGTGAATAATGTCCCAGTTTTTAGTTTGTATAGGTTTGGAGTTGATAGCTAAGTTGAGGTTTTTGATTGCAGTTATATTGTCAATATAAATATTTAAAAGAATGTTAGAAGAAATTGCAAATAAGAGGATGAGGATTGGCTCAAGTTTGATGTGGTTTGAGTCAGAGTAGAATTGTAAAGCTGCATTAAATTTTATGGATATATCATATTTACAAATCCATCTTATACCACATTTGGTTTCTGAAGTT